AGTAAAAAAAAAAAAAAAAAAAAAAAAAAAAAAATAAAAAAAAAAAAAAAAAAGAGAAAAAAAAAGTAAAAAAAAAAAAAAAAAATACAAATAAAAAAAAAAAAAAAGAAAAAAAAAAACAAATAAATAAAAAAAAGTAACTGACAAAATTGCCGGTACAGTTCACACGCATACCAAGGACACTCAAGATCCATACATATACTTCCAAGCCGAATGAGCATGAGTGTGAGTGTGAGTGTGAGTGAAATTGAGTAAGAAACTATAAGCCGAAATGGAATGAAGATGGAACGTGAGTAATTTTCTTATTTGCATTTACGCGCCAAAATATATGAAATAAAATCTATATTTAAGATGAATTTAATAGAATTACATACAACCTTTTCTTTGTTAGTTATATTGTCATAAAGCGATTAAAAAAAGCAATGTGAATGTGAATGTTTTATAATTCTTTACTAAATCTGTTCAGTTTAGTAATATATCAGAAATATTGTTCTGAGATGAGTACTTATTACTTAATGCGATGAGTCTTAAATATAATTACATGTTTTTGTACCATATATAGAATTGTTTAATTGCATTTTATACTATATACAAACTATATATAACTAGTTAAAATAAATTAGGATACGTATATACCGAAAATAATGATTATAATGAATTGTTTATTTCAAACGTAAATGTGATATTAAAACATAATTAATCCAAAAATTGCTCAAATAGAGCTAATGTTAAAATTAGAATGTTTTACACGTACGTGTAGTAAGTAACCGAATTAATACGTATGGAGTAGAATTGCTCTGATTGCCGGAAGATGGAGGTGCTTGATTCCAAATCATATTTCATTTGACATTATTTTGGAAATGGTTTCTGTAAACCAATTTTAACCATTTTTATGGGTTACGTTTTTCAAAGAAATATTTGTATAAATAATAATTGTTTGAAATGAAGTATGTTTTCTTTAATCAAATAAATTGATCGTCCTGAAAAGGACGGTTGTTGTTCGAAAATTTCGAAAGAAATAGTGTTGTAAGATATAGTTTAAGCCTTCTTTTCTGTTTTCTTAGGCAAAAGGACAGCTTGGATGTTTGGTAATACACCACCTTGTGCGATTGTGACACCAGACAACAATTTGTTTAATTCTTCATCATTACGGATGGCCAATTGTAAATGACGGGGTATGATTCTTGTCTTCTTATTATCGCGTGCTGCATTGCCAGCCAATTCAAGAACTTCAGCTGCCAAATATTCCATAACAGCAGCTAAGTAGACGGGAGCGCCGGCACCAACGCGTTCAGCATAATTGCCTTTTCGCAGCAATCGATGAATACGACCAACTGGAAATTGTAATCCAGCACGATTTGAGCGAGACTTTGCCTTGCCCTTAACTTTACCTCCTTTACCACGACCAGACATGTTTCAATAGTATTTGATTGTTAAGTTGATCTACGTGATCTGAGTTGAAAACAGGCAAACACCAAGAATTTATACCTTTTTCATCCCCTAATGTGAAGAGAGAATTTCTTGAAATTTCTGTTTTAAAAATACATAAATTCTGAGTGAGGGTAGTTCAAATTTGAAAATTCATAAAATTGAAAATTTGAAATTTCACATTTGAAATCATGCCACCAAAAACTAGCGGAAAAGCGGTCAAGAAGGACGGAAAGGCTCAGAAGAATATAACTAAGAACGATAAGAAGAAGAAGCGCAGGAGGAAGGAAAGTTATGCTATTTACATTTATAAAGTATTGAAGCAAGTTCATCCTGATACTGGTATTTCATCCAAGGCTATGAGCATCATGAACAGCTTTGTGAATGATATATTCGAGCGCATTGCTGCTGAAGCTTCACGTTTGGCCCACTATAACAAACGATCCACAATTACTAGTCGGGAAATTCAGACTGCAGTTCGCCTTTTACTTCCTGGTGAATTGGCTAAGCACGCAGTTAGTGAAGGTACTAAAGCTGTCACTAAGTATACCAGTTCCAAGTAAATTTTTTTGTATTGAACAATCAACATTAACTCCAACGGTCCTTTTCAGGACCACAAAAATATTTAATTAAAGTCGATAATTGATCTTAAAATTACTAACATACACTTCACAAATAAATGAACATTTTAGAAATGAATAAAATAATACTGATTTTCGAGCATATATATTTTGAATAATCAGAAAAAATAAGTGAATATAACTAACTGATAATAATATACGTATAAGGTTCCAATAAATACACAAATGCCATGTTTCACCTAAAGTATGTAACAAAAAATTATAAAAATATTTCATTTATGTGTTAAAAATACTATATATAATTAAGTTTTAAATATATTCACTGATCTTTGGCATAAATTAAATTTTAAATCTTTTGAACTTTCCCTTTCAGGCATTTAGTTCTTCTATTAACTGGCATATTCTATACTCTACTGTATACCATACTTAACAATAGAAACTAGAATATGAAAAATATTGCAGTATGAATTACTCACTTCAACTTTTGCATCATTTTAGCACCTTTACTCCATTCTATTTGTTAGCCTGGACATTTATTTCTTTAACTCATTAAACTGTCAAAGTACTTTCTCGAGCTTGTATACGCTGCTTTCGTTCTCACATTTCCGTCGTCTTATATATACTATATTATATATATTAAATAGTCAATTATTATTCGCAGAAATTTTTAAAGCCATATACTTGGTACACTAAAGAAAATCTTGAGGAGATCTCAGTTATTAGATTGTGAAAGACTTCCGAGTGAAATCACATTAGAGAACGAAATTATGAGCGATTATATCTATTCACAAAAGTTTTGAACTCTTTAAGAATATACTCCGTGAAGCGAGTTACTATATTCTCGATTGAGCAACGAGTTGGGTCAGGAGAGTGATCCCTCTGAATGAACTGGAAAGTAAGCACAATGGAAAGATCTCGGTATGCAGAATATTGGGAGGCAGTATAGTTATGCTGATATTAACATTTCTGTATTATAATACCAAAATTTATATACTTTGGAATGTTCTTCACTTTTTATTAAAAATATTGTTATCATAAGTTGACAACAAGCAACAAAGCTAAAAAACTAATAACTTCAACAATAATTGCTATAAGTGTAAAGTTTATATATAGCGTTATATGCAGATCATCATCAAAAATTATAGTTACAAAGAAGAATGAGAGAATCAATTATCTTTATATATTCATTTTATCTGAGTATTATTAATTTGAATATGATGTTTAACTATCTCTTTTCTTTAATTAATTTTGGTCCTGAAAAGGACCGATGTTTATTAAATAGTATGAAGTTGCTTCTTAAGCACGTTCTCCACGAATACGTCTCGCCAATTGAATATCTTTTGGCATAATGGTTACGCGTTTAGCATGAATAGCGCATAAGTTAGTATCTTCAAAAAGCCCAACTAAGTATGCTTCGCTAGCTTCTTGGAGAGCCATTACAGCAGAACTCTGGAAACGTAAATCAGTTTTGAAATCCTGTGCAATTTCACGGACTAAACGCTGGAATGGCAGTTTGCGAATTAAGAGTTCTGTACTCTTTTGATAGCGACGAATTTCACGCAAAGCTACAGTTCCCGGACGATAACGATGTGGTTTTTTTACACCGCCAGTTGCGGGTGCACTTTTGCGTGCGGCCTTAGTAGCCAATTGTTTACGTGGTGCCTTACCACCAGTCGATTTACGAGCAGTTTGCTTTGTACGAGCCATAATTAAACAAATAATTAAATAAAATTTAATTTAACGAAAAAATGTTGAGAGTGTAAATTTCAAAACAAACGCTTATGACCCATCCCAACTGTTCACATGTTCGAACAGTCATTGTTCATTATATCCTTAATATCCTTTACATTGTTTATTTCTACCCTCAATTATTTGAGTGCCATTTTTGAGTAATTTGTTGTGTTTAAGCATTGTCACTCATATCTTTTGTATTGTTCATTTTTTCTATAAATACTGTGCATATCTAGTGTGGAATTTATTTACTGTTTAAGTCTGAATAGACAAGTATTATCTGCACTAAAATTATAAACTCAAAATGACTGGTCGTGGTAAAGGTGGTAAAGGTTTGGGAAAAGGTGGTGCTAAGCGTCATCGCAAAGTTCTTCGTGATAACATCCAAGGTATCACGAAACCAGCTATTAGACGTTTGGCTCGCCGTGGTGGAGTTAAACGTATTTCTGGTTTGATTTACGAAGAAACTCGTGGTGTATTGAAGGTATTTCTGGAAAATGTGATCCGTGATGCAGTTACATATACAGAACATGCCAAAAGGAAGACTGTTACAGCCATGGATGTTGTATATGCTTTGAAGAGACAAGGTCGCACCCTCTACGGTTTCGGAGGTTAAATAAATAATATTAGTTTAAAAATGCAATACTATTAACACTATATTGCCCAATGGTCCTTTTCAGGACCCGAATATTTTCATTTTTTGAGATAAATAATTCATTTGAACACATACTTGACTGTAATTTATACAAATATTTTTATTGACTTCAAATATTAAGATTTTAAGACAAAAATTAATTGAAGTTGAATGTAAGTAAAAAACTTTAGAAATTTTTCTTAGTTAGGTTTTCAAGAAACATGTTTTAATGTAGGTATTCAAAATTATTCTTTTAATCAAACTAGTTTTAGACGTAGAAATATCTAAGAATTCACCAATTATTTATTAAATAGATATATCTCAATAAAAATAAATAAAGAAGTAAATATAACAAAGTTGTATGTAATATTTCCTTATAATTATTTCTTTTATATCTTCGTATTTAAATAACGGTTAATTTTTAGTTTCAATAATTATAATAATTATAATAATTATACAAATAATTGTTTAAAATTTTTTTTATGTACTGTCATTCTCAATACGATTTAGCATGACAACATTTAGCATGAAACAACATTGAAAACCGATATTTCATAATGAAATACTATTTATACCCCAATCACTTAATATTTAAATGTGTTCCTCAACTGAATTAAATTGTAAAAAAATTTGGAAATTAAGAGTATTTTGCAAGCATAATTTGTATTCTCCTTCTGTTTAGAATATATCAGTTTCCTACCACCCAGAATATAAGTTTCAAAGAAAGAAAGACTTTTTTTTAATAACACACATGCTTTTAAAATTATATATCTTATTGATTCGTTTGGTAGCAGATAAAATTATGGCGGGAAAATTTCTACCTACTGGTGTGTGAACTAAAATACTTAAGGCTTGCATTGTTATACCATTCATTTTTTATTTAAAAAAAAAGTAACTGACAAAATTGCCGGTACAGTTCACACGCATACCAAGGACACTCAAGATCCATACATATACTTCCAAGCCGAATGAGCATGAGTGTGAGTGTGAGTGTGAGTGAAATTGAGTAAGAAACTATAAGCCGAAATGGAATGAAGATGGAACGTGAGTAATTTTCTTATTTGCATTTACGCGCCAAAATATATGAAATAAAATCTATATTTAAGATGAATTTAATAGAATTACATACAACCTTTTCTTTGTTAGTTATATTGTCATAAAGCGATTAAAAAAAGCAATGTGAATGTGAATGTTTTATAATTCTTTACTAAATCTGTTCAGTTTAGTAATATATCAGAAATATTGTTCTGAGATGAGTACTTATTACTTAATGCGATGAGTCTTAAATATAATTACATGTTTTTGTACCATATATAGAATTGTTTAATTGCATTTTATACTATATACAAACTATATATAACTAGTTAAAATAAATTAGGATACGTATATACCGAAAATAATGATTATAATGAATTGTTTATTTCAAACGTAAATGTGATATTAAAACATAATTAATCCAAAAATTGCTCAAATAGAGCTAATGTTAAAATTAGAATGTTTTACACGTACGTGTAGTAAGTAACCGAATTAATACGTATGGAGTAGAATTGCTCTGATTGCCGGAAGATGGAGGTGCTTGATTCCAAATCATATTTCATTTGACATTATTTTGGAAATGGTTTCTGTAAACCAATTTTAACCATTTTTATGGGTTACGTTTTTCAAAGAAATATTTGTATAAATAATAATTGTTTGAAATGAAGTATGTTTTCTTTAATCAAATAAATTGATCGTCCTGAAAAGGACGGTTGTTGTTCGAAAATTTCGAAAGAAATAGTGTTGTAAGATATAGTTTAAGCCTTCTTTTCTGTTTTCTTAGGCAAAAGGACAGCTTGGATGTTTGGTAATACACCACCTTGTGCGATTGTGACACCAGACAACAATTTGTTTAATTCTTCATCATTACGGATGGCCAATTGTAAATGACGGGGTATGATTCTTGTCTTCTTATTATCGCGTGCTGCATTGCCAGCCAATTCAAGAACTTCAGCTGCCAAATATTCCATAACAGCAGCTAAGTAGACGGGAGCGCCGGCACCAACGCGTTCAGCATAATTGCCTTTTCGCAGCAATCGATGAATACGACCAACTGGAAATTGTAATCCAGCACGATTTGAGCGAGACTTTGCCTTGCCCTTAACTTTACCTCCTTTACCACGACCAGACATGTTTCAATAGTATTTGATTGTTAAGTTGATCTACGTGATCTGAGTTGAAAACAGGCAAACACCAAGAATTTATACCTTTTTCATCCCCTAATGTAAAGAGAGAATTTCTTGAAATTTTTGTTTTAAAAATACTTAAATTCTGAGTGAGGGTAGTTCAAATTTGAAAATTCATAAAATTGAAAATTTGAAATTTCACATTTGAAATCATGCCACCAAAAACTAGCGGAAAAGCGGTCAAGAAGGATGGAAAGGCTCAGAAGAATATAACTAAGAACGATAAGAAGAAGAAGCGCAGGAGGAAGGAAAGTTATGCTATTTACATTTATAAAGTATTGAAGCAAGTTCATCCTGATACTGGTATTTCATCCAAGGCTATGAGCATCATGAACAGCTTTGTGAATGATATATTTGAGCGCATTGCTGCTGAAGCTTCACGTTTGGCCCACTATAACAAACGATCCACAATTACTAGTCGGGAAATTCAAACTGCAGTTCGCCTTTTACTTCCTGGTGAATTGGCTAAGCACGCAGTTAGTGAAGGTACTAAAGCTGTCACTAAGTATACCAGTTCCAAGTAAATTTTTTTGTATTGAACAATCAACATTAACTCCAACGGTCCTTTTCAGGACCACAAAAATATTTAATTAAAGTCGATAATTGATCTTAAAATTACTAACATACACTTCACAAATAAATGAACATTTTAGAAATGAATAAAATAATACTGATTTTCGAGCATATATATTTTGAATAATCAGAAAAAATAAGTGAATATAACTAACTGATAATAATATACGTATAAGGTTCCAATAAATACACAAATGCCATGTTTCACCTAAAGTATGTAACAAAAAATTATAAAAATATTTCATTTATGTGTTAAAAATACCATATATAATTAAGTTTTAAATATATTCACTGATCTTTGGCATAAATTAAATTTTAAATCTTTTGAACTTTCCCTTTCA